CTGGTACCGAAAACAAACCGGTATGCAATTCATACTTTCCTTCCTAGTTCTCGTCCAAGGTGTGAGAGCACAATTTCAAAGGCACCATTGTTCTAATGATGGTAAATACGGTGTCGTTGTATGATACTGTAATACTCTCGGATCGCGATTACAACAAAGATGTTGTCATCGTGCGAGGACCGAGCTTTCCTGTGTTTGGATTCTGCTACGGAAAACAGTTCCGGCATGCAAGTCGTATGTTTTTAATTCTAATCCAAACTGTGGACGCACAGTTTGGATTGGAAGGGCGAGGAGCACAAACGTTTCCGGGCAAACAGCTGTAATTAATGTGAAAATTCTACAGGCAAACGACTGCAATCGAATGTGAAAAATCTTCAGGCAAACAACTGCCAGGCGCCGTACATACTGTCTTCCCCCAGCCCACTTGTTTACCTCAGACAGCGCTCCTTTTACCTGTCGTGTGAGACCGGCTCCACTCCCTCGTTGCGACATGAGCTCGGTGTGAGCGCACAGTTTTGATTTCAGTCAAGGCGCAAAATTGGACGGGCAAGGACCCGAGAGATATCGACGAGTTCAAATTTGTGATCGTGAAGGCGTTGAGCAGTATAGAGCAGAAGGCGAGGTGGGCAGAAGTCCGACCACGATGAACGACCACGATGAACTACTATACAGGGGGGCAGTGGAGAAACAGAATGCGGGCATTATTAGTAATACTGACATATAATTGCGGGTTTTTCGTTGTACAGCCGTTTGCCGGCCATTAAAATGAACGGTCGAGCCATGAATGGCATGTCGCCTGAAAGGGGAAGATACTTCAAAGAAGACGGGTGTTATTATTTTTGGGGAAGACATAATAATAGGAGCGGTTGCGTACTTTCAACGCCTGCGATTTTATTCATTGGACGGTCTCGCGTTTGAGCGATGAACTGCATTCTGTACGGGACAAGTTTTACATGGGCGTGTTATGTACTTGGGGCAGTAAGAAGTAGGATAGCTTTTGTTTCTTTATAAGTAGGGCTTCGTAGAACTTGCATGAGGGATTGATTCTCAGGTGCAGTGCTGTTTTTCGTAGAGAAGGCAGAGAAATCTTTGAGAAATGTCTTCACAACGTCTTAATGTCGGAGATATCGTGTTATTTACAATAACTTCCGAAGTACAAATGTCATTAGGTGTGCAAGGGAGGTATGCTAGAGTTGGACAGGTTTATTGTTCTGAAGATGGGAACGATGTACTTGAGGTGAAGGGATGGTTCGGGACAAGAGCTAGCCTTGAAGACATTAGAGTTTTACACATAATCTGGAAAATGGGAATCCGAAAGCTTGGAGTGCAGGAAATGAGTATTGAGGGAATTGAAAAGAATGGTTTGTGTCTGGCAAGGGGTGTGCGTATGCCAGACCTTAAGTTCATGAAGGATGGAGCTGTGACGCTGATACGTGTGGCGACACGTTTGTTCTCAAGAAGAGCTAAAACACCATCCGTTCTCTTCGCCACTGCTATAGTGTTGAACTGCGACGCGACAGTGACTCAAGTCGATCCGAGTCCGCCTCAGAACCCGTATGAAACACTTTACAAGCCTAACGAGGCGTTCAATGCAGACAGCTCCAATGCCCCTGCGCAACCGGCTGTTGCGTGGTACACCTTGGCGCAATCGGTATACAGTGGGGATATAGAGATATTCAGTTCGACTGTGGCACCGGACATGTTTATGAAGACAATCACATGCCTCCAGAATTGCAGCTCCAGCCCACGTGATGCCCGCAGAATGATAACATACGATTCAGATTCGTTGAGTACTTTGGAAGCATCGACACATTTTCACGAGGTGGATTGCAAGAAACTCAGTATGTCCTTGATGAACTTGGATATAACTCCGCAGTTTGCCTCAACCATTTGCAAGGAGCTGGGGATCCTGGATACGTTTGATGAAAAAGTACTCATGGCGCGGGGGATGTGCGTAGAGCGTGAAGCCGGTACGCAACAAGTCAAGTACGCCGAAAGTATGTTCTTTGAAGGCGCTGGGAGAGGTGACGAAGATGAGCAACTGCGACACACATTCAGCCACCTCACTCCGTACTCTATCGATTATGCAGACAGAACCGAAAGAAACGTCGCTGTGTCGATTGGGAAATTTGAATGTGACGAAGAAAGGGCAGGCGCGGGGTACGCAGATGATGAATTAGAGTATGTGTTTGTGCATATATCAGATGTAACGAGATATATTGGTCATGACCTGAACAGTCTTCTGTTAAGGAAAGCGATGGAGAGAGTTCGGACGCACTTTTTGCCAACCGGAAACATGAAAATGCTTCCGAAGGATATAGCGAGAATGGTGAGTATGGAAGAGTGGCGGGGAAGCTGCACACTCACGGTATACTTTCCAATTTCGGATGGCACCATCGACGATTGGTCATATCGCATATGCTTCTCTCGCATCTCAAAGCCGAGGATAATGTCGTACGTGGAGGCTGAAGAGCAGATACAATCAGAGGAGATGAATGATTTGAAGCGTATCTATAACCTAGTGAGTCAAACATATCCGCAAGACATCGCAGAAGAAGAATTTGGTGACCGTCACGAGTTGAAAGTTGATGCACAAGATGACGTGAGGATATCTGTGGCGCCTCGGGCGCGAACTAAAATGGCGTCCGTCTTGATTTCGTCCATGAAAAAGATAACAAACATCGCCTGTGCTTGGTATGCCCAAGACAAAGGCGTAGACATGTGCTTTTTGGGTCACATGGCAACTGATGACGTGAATAGTCATACAAGTCTTCGGTTCAGGGCAGAGGCCCTCCCTCATCCCGACCATGATGACCAACCTTGTGCTTTGGTGACGTCACCCGTTCATCGTGCGGCAGATCTAATCAACCACATACAGCTGAAAGCACAGCTACGGAAGGAGGAAAACCGACGACGGTGCGGATTTCTTACAAAACTGAAAATCATGAAGACAATTCAGAACAACAACTTTACACACAAATACAGGCACGGCCTACAGATGGAGGAGAGAATCACTCAGTATTATGCGTACAAGTTTCTGAGCCGCCAGCCTGAAATGGCGCAAGTGGGGACGATGTTGGGGTATCCTTCGGACGTAACAGATTTCAATCCGGACACAAGACGCATCAATGATATGCATGTTTCTGGATGCCATTCCTTCCAGAGATGCCTCGTGCAGTTGGATAACAGTGGTATTCGCATTTTCGTGATGCTTCCGTGTGGAATCGCCCCAGGAACGAAACTGAGTCTGGCGTTATCTTCGATTTGCCCAGACAGTATGCGTCATGACGCATTTGCGACACAAATGGCAATGCAAGTGGACAGGTAGGTGCACGCCGCAGGTTGAGGCTTGAACTTTGGTACAGGTTAAAAAAGTGGGATGTGGAAATAGTACATATGACAAGGTTTTCACTGATACTGTAGATAGGTCGAGATGACACATGTTTCGTTTCCATACAAGTTTTTATAAATTCTGAAATGTTATACTTGCTGTACGATAGTATCTACTTCCATGCTTTCCTCCATTGCAGTGTTGATATTTGAGACTACGAGCGGGGTCTGAAGTCACGTGAGCCGGTACGGGATGGTAATATCAGCTCCCATACCATGCTTCAGTATAGGATCTTGCTTCCAAACCACGAACGGGTGCCACGTCATTTGGTCTGTGGTGGCGCGACATCGACACGAGTATTTGAAACTGGTGAATGTTTCAAAAAACGACTTTCTGCGCTATGGTGATTACCGGATAAGTCGTTCCATACCGAAGAGGTAACTTTCCGGCACCCCTATCAAAACGTTTGCTATCAAGAAGTCAATTGTTATCCCTGTCGCCGGTCTTAAAGTTGTGTAGTTGCTGAGGAATGGAAGAAGCTCCGACCGCTGGTGATGCCAAGGCGGGACCTTCTCGTCCGAGATATGAAGAAGAAGCCCTGCGGGAATTGAAGTCAACGTGTCGCGAGCATGGATTCAGGGAGCCCCGCACACGCCTCGGAGGTTTGCGTCTAGCGGGAAAATTGGTATGCAGTCACGGTTTGTTTTTGTCAAAAATGGAGCAAATGGCTGAGGCTCACAGGGCTCTCTTGGAAACTCTCACGGCAAGCATCCAAACGTTTCGCGACCAAACGTTTCGCAATGGCCTCTGCGAGCCGTCTGCAAGAATTACACCGCACCAACAAGACGTTTTGGAGAACCCGGAAGGTTACGTTTTGGCTCCTGCATCTCCTCCCTTGGCGCAACAGTAGTAGTCCAAATGAGCTTAGCAGTTAAGACCCACCGAGGTGTCTCTAAACAAATTGTTTCATTTCGATTGTTCAGTACTGCTTCTGATCAGTGTCTCGTTTCCTGTTCAGGGTGTGCGTGAGCGTGTCCAATGCGCCCGAACAATCTATAAAGATGCACCGACAGGGGCAGTTTAGTGGCTTAGTGGAATTGTTCACACAATGACGACGCACACGTGTAGGATTGTGATTCAACTTGGTCGTAGGAACGGAGGCCCCAGTGGAGAATGTTTTTAAGCATTCTCGGGGCTAGAAATTTTGTCTTACGGCCCGGACCGCAGAACATTTATGCAAAATTTAGAGCCGCATATACACGTGTACTTGTACTGTGAAATTACAGAATAAAATGGGGAGTGACAGGAACGAAGAGCTGTAAACGGGGATAAAAGCTAATAGAGCGTCTACCGGAAGTCTGAGATACGCAGAAAGATCTTGAATGTCGCACTCAACGATTCCGCCTGGCTTGTCGATGAATCCGAACATTTTGCCTCCATGCCTCTCCACAGATTGCTTTGCCTTCAGCAGGCGTGACAGTATGCGCTCGAAGGATGGAACAACGTTGGTGGTATTAGAACACTGTTCGATTTGTTATGGCACGACCACTCTGAGGGATTTAACGAGAGTGCGAAGTGGTTACCTTAAGGCCAAACGCGTGATATGGACCGGAGCAGGCATATGTCGAATACCGTCAGTCGCCCGTTTTGCTCGAATTGAGCTCATGGATCAGTTGCCAATTGCTACCGACAAAAGGCATCTTCTAGCAATGTCAGAAAATCGCATGACAGATTCTCGAAATGACTTTGAAGCTTGCAATTCCGCAAGACGGTTAGGGCTTGCGTGCGAAGTGTCGCGTCCACTGAAGCCAAAAGATACACCCGCTACTGCTGCAGAATGGCCCAATTCTTGTATAGCGGCGAGTAATGTAGGGCTATTTTCCGCCCCTGACAAGAGTTCCCGACCTATTTCCTCAAATGCAGATGTCTGATCTCTTTGCCTCACGTGAATAAGGGGAAGTAAGGCATCTGCGGATGCATCCATATTTCTTGCGAAGGCGTCTCCGCTCGCGATACCCACCAAGATTACCCTCAGCAGTTTCAAAAGGGCTGCATGAACCACAGTGCTTGCTGGACCGAGCTCTGGGTTTCGAGAATGCGATCGGGCCAAAGAGGCAACTGCTTCCAGGCTTCTTCGTTCTAGTTTTAAGTCCGCGTTTTGTCGTTGTAGGTCCATAAGATGCAAAATGGTTTCGCTCATGTCTGGAGGGATTCGGCTCAACCACATTGGGTGCCGAATGACCACATCAGTTGTGAAACTGAACATCTTTGCACATACCGAAGGAATAGTTAGCATTTCGTCCGTGAATATGGGAAGCAGAGAGGACAGACCGACGTAGCATGCTTCACCGACTTCAAAGTCCGAGCCTTCTGTCAGTATGCTGCTCAGCAACCCAAATACCCTTTGGACGCCATCGTAACGTTCGTCGCGACTTGATTCGTTCAAATATTGGGATATGACCTCACAATAAAGTTTGATGATTGCTATTGCGTTCCCCACGAGATCTCGTGACTCCTCGGGGGAGAGGTGTATCAAAGAGGAGTTTACAATGTCATCTGCCAATGTGATGAGGGATTGCCCGACATCTGGTCTGGACCTGCCAAATGATTTCGCGCAATTAAACGCAATACCATCTGGGGCATGTAAGGCTAGCAGCAGTGCACTACGAGTCCGCGGTCCCGCATTTTCACACATCGCTGCTCCTCGCAAAAGGTTCACTGTTGCTATGGCGCGTTCAGCAGCATCTGCATCTCTCTCTCTATCCTCGATGAGGGAATGAAGAGAATGGTATGCTGGGAGCAACAGCTGGTCGGCGACAATATCTCCAAGCACTTTCGTCAGACACTTCCCAACAAGTCGTACCACAGGTGGTGGGAGATTTTGATAAGCCCCTGTCCCTGCTTGCAACAGCCTGTGCCAAATTTGAGAGTTTTGAATGTCATGGTATCTTGGAGTGCCAAGTGAGAGAGCGTAAAGGAGGGATGCGGCAGCCTCTGCGACATCGCATTCGAAACCACGAGCGGACAAACCTTCCAATGCTTTCTCCATGCACCCAGCCCTGCCTACGGCAACGATTTCCATTCCACCAATGGTCTCAAATGCTGTTTTTGTTGTAGTCTCGTCATCAGATATGGGAACGAGATATGTTCTGGTCACTCGAGCCAGTGCCTCAAGTATTGCTGCTCCAACTCGAGGAGAGGCCTCGTCGATATGAACCCCTCGAGTCTCCAACATATGAGACTCTTTCTGCGCTACATCGAAAAGAGCAGAGAGCAGTATCTTGGCGTTCATAGGTGGCTTTCCATGGCCGTTAATCGAAGCAGGTGACAGAAACTGCCATGGAACCGATGAATGCTCGCCTTTCGCATCATCTGCAAGCACACTACACGTCAACAGAATCAAAAAAAATAGATCTTCCTGAAAAATATCTAGTGGAAGTGAAGTCTTTCTGTTACGCATCGTACCCCATTGGAAGACTACCTCAGCAGCATGTACCAAGGACTCAGCCAGCATTGGTGCCATTTTGTTCAAAACGAATCTCAGTAGCACAGCCGCGGAAGCAAGGCGAGCTTCTGCAGCAGAGGTATCTTCAAAGCCCATGTCTTCTTCGTCGTCGGGAACATGAATGTTAGCTCCCGGTTCGTTTTCAAGCAAACTCTTCATCCAGAGCTTTCTGCAGTGCATCACGACCTGTTCGATCTGTGGTGCCAGAGGATGCTCCTTCGACTTGACACCGTCGTCGGCCTGAAGCGAAATATTCGCCCAAGTCTCCAACAACACATCTGTGACATCTTCGCTAATAACGTCCTCTTCATCAGCTTCAAGAGAGGCCAAGCTTATCGCCGCCGCATCCAGCAATTGACACGTATCCTTGGTAAAAACTTCCAAATACATTCTCCCCAACTTCACAACGGTCATGATTCCATGTGCACAAGACATTCGCCGCCATACTTCAGCGTACGCCAGTTTCATGACACCTAGTTGAGACTTCGGCCACGCCTGTTTGTTCACGCCATCTACCATTGACTGCAGTATTTGCCCTGCTTCCTCATCGGTGTGATAGCTGCGCTGACTGATAGCGCTGACGGCGGTCAAGACTTGCGTCGCTTTCGGGATAGTGCGCGGCTCGTCGTCAGGGTCTCGTACGCTACTATGATAGCTCGTTACGACCAGGCAAAGCCGCAAAATTGTTGGCAGCTGCTCGATGATTTCATGCCATTCTTCTCCAGTAAACGCATTAATAACCACAGCCTCTAGAGACTCCTCGCCACTCGTAGCTTCAGCATACAAGTCCACGGGGGCGTCCGCAGATGGAGTGGCCTGGATCTTCGCTAAATCTGTCGCCAGCACTCTCAACACAGTATCTAAGGCGGGTAGCACTCGAGCGTCATAGTCCGGGGAGTTCATCGGTGGGTGTCCTGGGACGGTGAGGATGACCGATATTGAGGCCAAGGCAGCCTTTAGTAAGCCGATGAGATGTCCTTGGGGGGCGGAAAATTGCAAGCGAGCCTGAACGTGAACCTGGCGTTGCATTGAAGAGGCACGTCGTGAGGTATCAGTTATCATGAACTCCGCGCCAAGCAATTCGATAAGTTCGGTAGCTGCCCTGGCACTGTGAGCTGTTGCAGGGTCTGGGTTCGCTGCAGCCTCATGAACCAAATTGAAGAAGCGATTGCGTTCCTCAGCAGGCTCCTTGAGATATGCCCTTCGGGCGAGAACCGCTGCCGTTTGGAGAAGGGCAATGCGCTCGAATGTCACGAGCGCTGGTGTAGAGACAACAAACACGACAAGGAGGGAGCGCAGAGAAGTTGCCCCATAGCGCTGCGGGGGAGTTAGGGTGTCCCATGCTTCCAAGGCTGCCGAGCGTAATGCACCAGCGGCATGAAAGCGGGCGGCCGGGAGGGAGGTATATTGTATTACAGCCAGGGAGATGGGGATGGCATTCGGATGGCGAGATAGGTTCTTGATTGATTCCTCCGCAGGAATGCGGGTGGCCGGCACTTGGACATCACGGCAGGCTTGCTCGAAGGCTGCAACTTGAGCATGTTCCGGAAAGGTAGCCATTCCGTACAATCGGGGGGAAGGACACAAATCGGTCGACGTATCCTAATCGGAGATGGAATCTAAGCTGGACAGTCTTCTTCTGATGTACAAGCCGTAGGGCAGAGGGGTGATGGGGAGGGGTGGAGGGTTGGTGATGGGGAGGGGTGGGAGGGGTGACGGGCGGCGAGGGTGCACTCTTTCAGCAGACCGTCACATCAACAGGCAGGCGTGTAAATGAGGTGACCGGTGATGGGTCGTCACACAGCGTGTTACCTTGTGAAGAGAGAGGAAGGGATCTGCGGCGGCTCAGGTCCTTTCTACCTGGCACTTAGTCATGGTCAGCAGTGATTGGCCCCTTTATTCATATAGAAACACCATCTGTACATGTTTAAAGCGAGGCAGATATACAGTGCGCGATATTATTAGAATTGGATTGGCTGTTCTACCTGGCGAATTTTCTCCCCTGTCTGCACAACTTTACTGTACTGTACAGGGGAGAAAATGCGCTGGCCGTTCTACCCGGCGAAATTTCTCCCCTGTGTGTACAATTTTATTGTACTGTACAGGGGAGAAAATCCGCTGGGTGGAACGGCCCTCTCGGGGCGCGAAAAGTTCGAGATCCGTGGGCGAAATCAGGAATGGCCCGCTGGGACCACTCGCGAGACTGAATATACTGTATTACCCCACGCCTTTCCCCCTTAAAAGCCGGCGACATAGTGGTGGCCGCCAAACCCAACAGAACCTCATCTATCTGTTTCTAAAAAGGATTCGGGGTAATTTACAGTATGCCAGGCGACGTGATTCGGGTGCATCCCATCAGCAAAAACGCTGCGATCAGGCTCAAAGTTCCTGATGGCCATCGCACACGTACATCTACAAATTTTATCACAGAGTTTGGAAACATCCAATTGCGTTAATAATGAAACTTCATTTACGCAGTTCGTGCCAAACGGAATCTTTATATTTCCTCACTGGGTTTTACGCATCCGACCGAGAATTGATTTCTTTCTGCGAGTCTGATCGCGTTTCCCTTGCTGCATACTTGTATTCGAATTGGCGCTTGTTGTGGGCGCCGTCTACACGCTGCCCACCCATCATCATGGGAAGCGGCTTGAGTACCACCCGTCACTCGTCCGATCCCTCGTCTCACTACTCGTCTCCCTTCCCTCGTCGCCGTGTCAAGAGAACCCGCCGCAAACATCGCGATCGCCCCTCGCCAATCATTCCGGATGTCCACGATCAGCGCGTCTCCGGTTCGCCTCCCGATTTCGAGGCTTCGGAACCCGACCTAACCCTCCGTCACCGGAACGGGCCGCTTGTCCCCAATCCGCGCAAGTCACGCACCCCACCTACTCCGAACCAACGCCCCAACAGTCACATGCGCGATCCTTCCCAGCATCACCCGTATGAGCCTTCTCGAGGGGGGCCCACGGGCAGTGTTCCAGACCCTCCTCACATGCCTGTTAAGGCCACCTTTCCATCTACCGACGCGCCCGCAAGTCCTACCACCGCTCCCGTCAGATATGGCCGCCCTGAGCGTCTAGGTCTGGACCGAAAGGATTTCATTAACGTTCACCGCAAAGATTACACAGGAAGGATTGAGCTTCTTCAGGGCTCGGTCGAGGGTCTTGCCAAAGAAGATGAGACTGATGTCCTCATCGTCTACCTCCGCGAGCGCGGCGTGTACAAAGCCAATCGCGATTCGTCACTCGCTGCTCTTAATAGGGCAAAACTCTCCCTCCCAAGCTTGGAGAAGGAATCTAAACCCCAGCCATCTTATCGCAGACATTACCACTGTTGGCTATCGCGCCAAATACCTCGGCCTCGTCCGGTCGGCTTCGAGTACAAGAGATTACTGGTCTACGAGGATCCTGGCGAAGAACTCACGAGGGATGATAACATTGTTTTGGATATTGTCAAATGTCTCACCACTGTCATCGGTGGTGATGTCAGGATCGAGTCTGTTCTTATCCCTTTGTCGGGTGCCCTGCTGTCGCCCTCCCTCAGAAAGCACTTTGTGAAAGCTGCCGTCGAGGTGTCTTATGCCTGGATGCGCATGGGCCTGCCTCTTCGCTCTGTCAAGATCTTATTACCCGAGACTGATATTACGAAGGATATCGAAACTTTTAGGAAGGCTCGCGATGCCTTAACTAGGCCTGCTATTTCCCCCGCCCTTGGCCCTGCTCCGGCCCATGATGTTTACTTTTCCTACGCCCAGAAGGATAAGGAGGCGGCCAGGGACATGATCTCTTATCTTTCTTCAAAGAATCCTTCCATTCGGATCTTTGAAGCTGAATCTCGCGATATTACCATCCGTAAGCGAGGTGTGGTCGACAACAGTATTATGGAAGCTGCGAGCGCCAGTCGCATCTTCCTCGCGTTACTTTCGGACGACTACTTCCATTCTGTTGAGTGCACCGAAGCCTTCTCGCTAGCATGCTGCAGGGATTTCGAGTCACAGGGTAACTTTATTATTCCCTTGTTTTGGCGATCATGTGATCTTACGCCACTTGCTAAGCGTCTTGTCGTCACGGAGGGTGTCGATTGTCGGGAGGCGTCGTTTGAGAAGGCACGGACTCTGCTGGACGAAATCCTATCCGCGTTGACAGCACGGAGCCCTCGGGGTGATGCCGGGCCCAGCCCGGAGGAGATCCTTGAGGGTGCTGCGGCCGGATCAGGAATCAATGGCATCACTGGTCATGAAGAGCAACAGCTGCGTATCGCAGAAAATCTCCTCATGAAGAAGGACGGCAATGATAACGAACTTTTCGAAGCGCTGGCGGAGCAACCTGATCCGGATGAGACCGTTTCACAGATGTTCTTTGATGCCGCATGGCGAAGAGCTTGGGCTGTTGACTTTAGGGAGATCGTGTTTGGTCCGAGAATTGGTGCTGGAGGATTTGGAGAGGTGTACAAATGCAAGTACGAGGGGAAGATGGTGGCGGTGAAGACTTTGCAAAAGGTGGAAGACGACGATCCGAATGCGCTTATGGGCGAATTTATGGTGGAAATGAAGCTGATGTCTAAGCTCCGACACTCCAACATTGTACAGTTCAAGAGAGCATGTATTCACGTTCCAAACTTGGCAATCATCTTGGAGTTTATGCCCGGGGGCAGTCTGTACCGCGCCATTCATCGCAGACGTAGAAATGTCCTTGGAGCGTTTCCGCTTCTCAAGATTGTGTGGATCGCACTTGGCGTAGCAAAGGGGATGGCATTCTTGCACGGCCAGTATCCTGTTGTTATCCATCGCGATGTCAAGTCACCAAATATTCTGCTAGGGACAAACGTTCGGGAAGTCAAGATCACGGACTTTGGGCTTAGCAGACTACGAGTCAACTCGTACGTTAGTACGGGCCCAGGCGGTACTCCTGAATGGATGGCACCTGAACTTTTGAGACAAGACGCCTTCAACGAGAAATCAGACGTGTTTTCGTTTGGCGTAATTCTTTGGGAACTGGTCGTGGGTGAGAAGCCATGGCGTGATGAGCACCCCATGCAAATTGTATACAAGGTTGGTAATCGGGGTCTCAAACTTCCGACGCCACCGCCAGAACAATGTGCCCCTGAGCTTAGACAGATGATTGTGGAGTGCTTTGCGGACGATCCCAGCCGACGACCACCATTCTGTAATATTGCTGCAAGATTAGAAGACATGTGCAAGCAATTTGATATCTAGAATGGATAATCGCGTGGATTACTCGGCTAGCGAAACTATTTTGGTAAAGAATTGCGGCAACTGATGCAGGGATCCTACAGCGGCCGCTCCTGGCAATGCTAGTACTGTACTCTCACATGAAGTAGGGAGGGGGGTTTCAGACGTGCTCGACAACATCTTGGCACACCAGGCACACCAGTTTGGAAGTTTTTCTCGATGTACAGTGGACGGATGACATCCGTCACCCCTGTCTCGGGTCTTAGCTCTGTTGTAAATAAAGATGGAAGGTATATGATAAGGTACACATTAAGTTAAACAAACGGCATACACCGATGCTGTAAGTAAAGAGACGTTAAATTAAAACAAAGGACAGATTACAGTTACAGCGCTGCTTACAGTAAATGTTTACTCGGTAAAATTCCTGAGTAAGCATTTACTCGCAATCTGATTAACATTTACTCGGTGTCGAGTTGATCGTTGCGAGTAAATGGTTACTCCTTAACATTCCCGGGTAAACATTTACCCGCAACCAGGTTAACCTTTACTGTATGGCCTTTAATGGCTTACGAGACATGTCATACAGTCATTATAAACTGAGTGACATGTGACTGTATACTCGACGATATGATATCGAGTATAGGTTTACTGTTCCTCGCTTTGCTTGACAGTTAACGTTTACTTACGGATAAAAGCGCGCGAAACCGGAACAATCCTCTCGTATTGCTGCGGACAGTTCGATTTTTACGTTTCATATAAAAAGGGACCCGAAGTTTTTTATATCGAGCGCCCACCATCATTCTCACCAACGTCACTCTTTTGTTTTCTTGCGCGTTGGTTTTTTCGAAATCGTCACTCTTTTGTTTTCTTGCGCTTTGGTTTCTTTCACACTTGACCGCTTGTTGATGTCAAGAACGGGTGTGGTATGTGTCACTCTGTGTTTCGTTTTCTAGACAGACAAATCGGGGATCTGACATTTCAACTGAATTTTTAGCCTCCGAGTTGTGTCTGACCGACATGTGCAGACAGGAAAAGTAGCGCGATCTGCGTACGTCGAGGCCGAGAGGACAGAGTCGACCCCTCACGGGGTCGATCGCTAGGTGAGGAATCTGACCTTGGCGGGGCTATAGCCACAACGAGTGAGCCCGCTGGGGGCTTCGATACGCGTCAAGAAAGGGAGCTCTCGGCAGAAAAAGAAAGCCTCAGAGGCGTGGAGCCAACTCAAAGTGGCCCCACTTCCATAACCCCTTTTTCGCTACACGTTCAGTCTTAGTTCTAAAGCCCGCAAGTTGCTACAGGGCGCAGTATGAGTCAGTCGAGGCTGTGGGGCTATCCCGCTGTCAAGCACCAAACGAAGGATGACAGGCCCTCTCCAAGTTTCGCTTCCCCAGGGAAACGAAACGTCACAGCCCTTGCATGTAAAGGCCTCCATGCTGTCGTTTCAATTAAGTGGAAGTAAGCAATGATATCTTAAACGAAAAAATAGCCTGAACTTTATTTGGAATGCAAGATCATATATCCCCTTTCCTACGCCTTTGAATGCATGGACTATGCGATGCGACGCGTTTGGGGAAAGCAGTTCCAAAGATTTCGAACCTATCCTCATTATGAATGCGGACTCCTATTTCTTGCATGCCGCATAGTAGTAATATGGTTCTGCTCGCTGTGCGAAAACCACGTGCAAATCGAGCTGTCGGTATGGCATGCTCATGTTGCGGTTAGCGCCCCGAACAATTGGCTGCCAAACACACAAGTTGATACTGTCCTTGCATCACGTGCAGGGCCTTCCCGGGGCGCAGCAGGATCTGAAATGTTCACATGTAGCGTGTGTTTATGTTGCGTTTGCCAACCTGAAAAGGGGGGTGCAAATCTCATTATGAGATTCGAGTACCAAAAAAAGGGACTTGAAACTCATAATGAGTTTCGAGTACCAAAAAAGGGACTCGAAACTCATGAGTTTCGAACGCCCGAAAAAAGGTACTCGAAAGTCAAAATGAGAAGGGCCCCGAATCATCTGCAGGGGCCCTTCAGGGGCGGGTACTGTGTGTTTCACATGCAGAGTATCCTCATTTTGAGTTTTGAGCACCAAAAACGGGGTTCGAAACTCATTCTGAGTTTCGAGTACCAAAAAAAGGGACTCGAAACTATGACTAGTACTTCCGTCAGTTCCGGGATTCCGGTACGTTTTGGGCATGTGTCAGTGCAGGTACGTAATGACAAAATACGGTTGGTACGGGCTGCATTCAACGAATATGCGTTTTTGGTACTGACTACGGAGCATGCCCCAAAACGTATCGGAATGGCCGGTTTTACCCCCTCGCAATTTCCGGTGGAACGATACGTTTTGGGCCGATTTGCACGGCGGCACCCCTATACGCGCTGGATTTGCGACATTGCTGTGGGCAATTTCTGACCAAAATTTTGCCGGCGGCAGCGCGCAGCCAATAATTTGTCAGTGCGCAAAACTTAATTTTTGCCATGTCCCATTAGAGGCGCATGAGCAGTATTTTTAACTTCAATTTTATTACGTACCTGTAACGGAGCATGTGCAATACGTCAGAGGCCTCATACGTATGGGAATCGCTGGTGTATATACTACATCCAAGTTTAAAGCAAGCAAATGAATACGGCGTACATGATCGTGGGACATCTGCGCTCTAGCTATTTTTAGGCCTAGGGTGAATATGACACGAAAACCGACTGCCAACCAATTTCCGGGGAGGTCTTTTAGACCCATGCCGGGACGTTTTCGAGGGTGCTGTACCGGTACGTTTTCGAGGGGTGCTGCACAAGTACGTTTTGGAGGGGTGCTGTACAGGTACGTTTTCGAGGGGTGCTGTACCGGTACGTTTTCGAGAGGTGCTGCACAAGTACGTTTTCGAGGGGTGCTGTACCGGTACGTTTTCGAGGGATGCTGTACGGGTACGTTTTCGAGAGGTGCTGCACAAGTACGTTTTCGAGGGGTGCTGTGCCGGTACGATTTCGAGGGGTGCCGTACAGGTACGTTTTCGAGAGGTGCTGCGCGGGTACGTTGTCGAGGGGTGCTGTACATGTACGTTTAAGAGAGGCGCTGTACCGGTACGTTTTCGAGGTGTACTGTACAGGTACGTTCTGGAGAGGTGCCTCCCCTCCCGCTACGTTTTCGAGGGGTGCTGCACAGGTACGTTTTCGAGGGGTGCTGTACCGGCACGTTTTGGAGAGGTGCTGCACAGGTACGTTTTCGAGGGGTGCTGTGCCGGTACGATTTCGAGGGGTGCCGTACAGGTACGTTTTCGAGGGGTGCTGTACAGGTACGTTTTCGAGGGGTGCCGCACAGGTCCGTTTTGGAAGATGCTGCACGGGTACGTTTTCGAGAGGTGCTGCACAGGTACCTTTTCCAGGGGTGCAGTGCCAGTACGTTTTCGAGGTGTACTGTACAGGTACGCTTTAGAGAGGTGCCCCCCCTCCCGCTACGTTTTCGAGGGTTGCTGCACAGGTACGTTTTCGAGGGGTGCTGTACCGGTAGGTTTTCGAGGTGTGCTGCACAGATACGTTTTCGAGGGGTGCTGTGCCGGTACGTTTTCGAGAGGTGCTGCACGGGTACGTTGTCGACGGGTGCTGTACATGTACGTTTAGGAAAGGTGCTGTACCGGTACGTTTTCGAGGTGTACTGTACAGGTACGTTTAGGAGAGGTGCCTCCCCTCCCGCTACGTTTTCGAGGGGTGCTGCACAGGTGCGTTTTCGAGGGGTGCTGTGCCGGTACGTTTTGGAGGGATGCTGTACAGGTACGTTTTCGAGAGGTGCTGTACTGGTACGTTTTCGATGGGTGCCGCACAGGTCCGTTTTCGAGGATGCTACACAGGTATGTTCTCGAGGCGTACCGTACGAGTACGTTTTCATGGGTGCTCTACTGGTAGAAGTGAAATGCCGGAGGAGATAGTTGTCTCATGGAACGGTAGGATTTTGTGTACATAATTGATGGGATGATGTTCTTTCGTTATTTGTGTAGTACACTTGCGCGGAGGCGACGGTGCCACGGCTGCTGCCCCGGCGTACAGTGATCTCGGGTGTAAGCGCCAGCACAACCGTAAGAAGTTGTATTTACAGCTGGTGGCCGGTGCGGAGAACAGTAATACTCCACCGGGTACACGTGTGTAATCCGTACGGTCATAAGTAGTAATTAGTAGTTAGTGGCACAAATATATTAATTGTGTACAGTAGCTGGTATACAGTAGGTAACAGCTACTGTAGCGGGACAGGTGTCCTGGCGTCCCACTTAGGGGTTAAAACCGGGGGCACCTGCCCCGTCCCAGAAAAGAGGAGGCAGACTCGCCTCCCTTCCCTTTACGGCTAATTGCTATCCCGTACCGGTTTCCATTTTAGTCTCAGGCTTCTAACCTGTGACCGGCCGTCCGGATCTAACACCACCGACCGGCTGCGCGTCACCGGCCACGTGAGCCTTCCCTCTTTTTGAGTCCTTCCGTACGGTTTGCGTTCGCGCGTGGGTTACCCAGCGGCGCGCGCTCCCTTACCTCTAACCCCCCTCGTTTCCGAGTGGTCGGGACGAAGGTAGTTATAGCACATTTTGGTACTCTTGTGGAGGGCATAACTACAGAGGTTAAGCACGCACTGGATCACCTGCGCGAGCAATTACCGATCGGATTGAAAGAGGTCGAAAATCACCGCGTCGATCGCCAGTGATGATCGACGATGAACCGTGCGGATTGCGCCGGAGAAGATACCGCCTCCGGGCGAGCAAGTACCCGCAGTGGCAGAGGCGCACAGCGCCCCCGGATCGACAATCCGGAAGCCCTGCTACGCCCGCCGTCTACCAGGGGCCAGAAGAACCCTTCCGTTTCGGACACCACCGCCGGGCTACCGGCTGGTGGGGGTAACCGCGTATAAGTACTGTACGACGCGTTACTCCCGCGACTACAAACCTGGATGGAGGATTTCCTCGCTGAGGAACTACCTCAGGTCGTCCAGGTTTGCCTCGACCGCACGGCACCAAGACTGGTGGCGGAGCATGCGGACACCGCGCTCA